CATCAAGGGCACTTCTGACTTGTTGTCAAGATTTGGAATATGACCTTGAGCGTGGTCACCGTAGGCAAGCCCTGGATTATGTTGAAAAGGATACTGCGACGACGGCATTGGCGGGTGGTGTTGGCCGGACAGCTGTCGAGAGAAAGTCGGTGCMGGAGGTGCATACTCATGCTGGTTGAAGCGGTTTCTGAAGGAGCGAAACGACCAGTTGCTGACAACGGTAACAGTCGAAATAGTAGCAAGAAAGAACATCTGCGTATAAGCGGTCAGCTTATTATTCGTAAGGGAACAGAGTGAGTGGACTACGTACAATTGCCTTCCAGCTGATGGGATCAATAAAGCTGTTGATGATGATAGCCATTGTCTGAGCCGACACCTTGGCCCGTCCAACCTTGGCCGGGTCCCGGTTCATGCAGCGTTCCCAGTTTTCGCATGCCGTCTCCAATGCTGGTAATCGCTCTCCACCAGCGCACTTGTTGTCCACGTAGCTCTTCGCGCAAACAGCCATATCAGCCAGGATTTTATCAGACTCTTCCTCCGCAGCCTGCTCAAATTCGGCACGGATGGCCGACACAAACCCGAACACTACGTAAACCGCGAGCGAGAACAACGACAAGTTCACTACCAACTGAGCCCACCATGACAGAATGCTGGGGACGTTGGGATGCGCTTCGAGCAAGGCAAAAAATTCCGAAAAAGACGATAACCGCGACGTCGGCTTTCCTTCCTGTCCTTCGTTTTGTTTTGAGTTCTTCTTGCTAGCCGCTTTCCCTTCACTGCTGCTCGGCCGATCGCTGTCATCTTCACTGTCGTCCTTTCGTAGCTGTAACCCAAGCACCTTGTCCCGCCGACGTCGCTTCTGTACCCGTCTCGCCAGGGCGTTGGAGTAATGGTTCAATCTGGGAATCTCGCCGCGTCCAGGACTAGGGGCAAACTTGCCGTACATGCCAAACAGGGAGTTCCGATGTCCTGCTTTCGCGGGCTGTTCGGGCGTATCCTCATTGTCCGCGTTCTCGGGAGACGACATGTTCTCGGCTCCGGAGGAAAAGTCCAAGTCGACTTTGCGCGGTGTCGTGAATGCTGACTGTCCGAAAAGCGACTTGGGGTTCTTTGAGGATGAGAGAGACGGATTCTGGGAGAAGAGGAAAGGTTGCGAATTTGGCGCTCGCAGAGCGGGGATTTCTTTCTTCTGAGGCGAGTCGAAGGTACTGTGAGGGCCTATCTTCAGGTTAGATATTCAAAGCTTCTGTAACTTAGAGTAATGGCGGAAGACGCACGCTTTTTCTGATTGTCATGTTGCATGCTGAGCTGGTAGAAGGGTGATGTGACGTCCCCGGGTGCTCTCGTCTGCCACTCAAAGTCCATCGGACTCTCTGCTGACCGTTTCTGCATCTTGAGTGCTACTGCATATAGGAGAGGATGCAGGTTTGAAGATCAGGGACGCTCGGTTGAAGACATCAATTCTAGAAATTATGCTGATAGTTTGGCCTGGCCCGTCGCTCAGACGACGACTTTTATCATTCTTTGTTTGGGGCTGTGGAGTATTGCCATAACAGGTTAGTCTTACCGCTTCTAGAATCGCGCTCTGGAATCAATCATTGTTGTGGTTATGACTGCATCAGACAGCGCTCTTTGGAGAATCGTCATATATTATTTTATCTAAATACAGGACGATGAAGATCTCGTTTGATATTTAGGTATTAGTGACAGTATGCTGTGGCTGCATTATGCTGCAGTATAGCAGCGAGGAGCTAGTCCATAGTATTCTCCGTACTCCGCATTTAAACAGCTAGCTGTATGTCACAATATATCTTTGAGCCAGAGATAATGCAGAGATTTATTGCATTTTTCTTACTATTTTCATGAACCATTTATTTGGCGAATAGTAACGGTTAATTGTATTTTTCGGCTGGGACCTTTCTCATGGAAATAGATCCCCCGCACGAGCAAAAGCATTTCATCGGTCGCGACTCATTGGTGCCCAACTTATCTCTAGCAACATCCTCGTCTTACTGCGACAGATCATTTGAAGACAGCTTAATTATATTGCATCAATCACATATGAATCTGAATGCGATCAATTATGGGTTTCATATGATACTACTGGGGTATAAATCATTCTGTCTGATGAGAAGAGCCGTGATCACGGAGGACTAATGAAGAAGGACGACGAAAGCAGGACGGTCCACTGGTAGAATCGACTGATTCCACCTACGAAATCACAGAGCGACAAGCACAAACATGTTCGAAGCATACCATCCAGAATCCAAAGCCACCGATTCGCGAGGAATAAAAAGCTCTAAACCAACTCCGATCCCAGAACCATGTCAAGCAGCGCGATCAAACGCCAAAATAGAGAACCAAGTTGAAGACGAAATGAACAAGAGAACTCGTTACAGCTGAACATGGTCTACCAGCTCGAAATCATCGTCAGCCAGATAGCCAGTTCCCATCTCGCTCTCACGTGAGACGATCTCATATTCCTTGACCAATTTCTCGGTCTCCTTTGTCTCGAACTTCTCCACGGCCTTGTTCACAGCATCAGACAAGATTGTCTGACCAGACACCTCATATGGATTGAGGGTTTCGTCTTCGTCAACGATCATGACTTCGGGGCTCTTTTCGACTGCGACTGGCTCCTCGACTTCCTCACCACTAGACGAATCAGAGGTACCGTTGTCGAGGATCTCTTGGATATCATAGTGCAGGGCAATCCTGGAATCACGCGCGACCTGGTTGAGGCACTGTTGATGCCAACGCTTGATGGCGCTGAAGTCAAGGTCAGCTTGTGGTTGAGTCTATGTCATTCTTGCCTTAAGGACAACTCACGGCGGATTACGCCACAGTGGCTTCGCAGGACGAGTTATTGGCAGGAAAGGGGCCTTTAGGTTCCCATGAGGAAGCGCACTTCGGCCACCGTAAGCCCATTTGGCCTTGCGATCATGCTGCCTCTTTGCTTCGGTACTTGCCCGTCGCAGATCACTGTTGACGACAGTCTCGGATGCCATGTTGGTGTTGGTGAGGGGAGAATCAACGATGAGGGGAGGTAAGCGGCGTGGATGAAATGGCTAATGGAAAGAGGAGGCCGGATAGTGCCTGCCTTGACTAGGGGAAGGTTGTCTGGGAATGTTTATAAGACAGACGCGACGAAACGAGAAAGAGACGGAAGGCTGATGAATAAGGATGGGACAAAGGCGCGATCCAAAAGTAAATGCTTTGGTGACAGGGCTGTCTTTTGTCTGAGTCACCAGGGTTGGTGTCCAGTCATCGATCAATAAGTAGCAACCGCAGTTGGAACAAACTGCTCAGCACCCATGGAAACCATGGATGGAATTAGGCAATAAATCTAGAAAGAGAGAAGAACCCTTTAACAAGAAAACAGGACGAGACAACAGTAACCAGCCGGATGACGCCAGGGTCCTCAGACTGGAGGGAGAGGGGCCGCTCATTGTCTCTGCTGTTATCAACCATCCGCATGCGCCGCAGGCAGCACGAGGACTGGATAAGGCGCTCCTGATTGCGACATGCCAGCTTCTGCTGATTGATGGGTTGATCATTATGATCTCGGCAGTGGTTCCCTCGTCTAGACAATCATCACTAGTCTACTATAGAATAGAACTCTACTCTTGTCCTTATCCGCGATGAGCGATCTCCCTCATTTCCCGTCTACTACTCTCTAAAACTGCTCTCTCCGCATCTCCCCCTGATCCTTATCGCGGAACGAGGATCTCCCGAGGTACCTACAGTAACACTTCAACAGAATACGGTAATCCTTTAATCCTTCGAACGCCACATCATCAACCACGGTTCTTGGCCACGCATCTTCGTAATTATTGCCCCTTACCAATTCTGGTCCCCGAGGTTTAGGTTACTTAATCACTCAAAGCAGAGCCACTGATGGATGTATGTCGTCGTCGTCGGCGATCCCTTACAGCCTCAAGGCACCCGTTATGTCCAGATGACTCAAAGCAACCTGACGTAGCGTTACGCGCCGCAGACTACAAAAGATCTCAGTACATCAGCATGCATCTATCGATCCTACTCGGAACTAAGGACTGTCGAGTAACAAGCAGTAAATAATAAGCATGCAAGATGAAGTCCAACCAGTCCTCACCCTGAGTCATCTCATGTGCAAGCGATGACGCTGCTGATAGGGAGTAGCCGGGGCAGCTTGGAGCTTATCATCTGCCTTGCGCATGGATACCTGCGGAGTACTATTTATCCACCCCGCGCAACCTACTATGCATACTGCTGCATCTTCCGGATGACTTGCTTCTGGGTCTGATTCTGGTCAGCTGTTCAGCTGTCATCATGGCGGTGGTATGAGTTATGATGAATTCTGCTTGGTTACCGATACTTTGTGGAAAGTTCTGGTTTGGTTTCTCGTCACTTGGAGCTCACATGGACATGTGATTTGAGGTGAGAGTGGCTGTGTAGACTAAGGGACTTGTTTGTGGCTGGGTACGTTGTATGGTTTGATGATGATCATCATCTTGTAGTTGCTTGTAGCTGTTGAGTCTGTAGCACGGATGAGATATATGACTTGCCGTCCAGCCACATAAGTCCAGCAATCAGTAGATTCAGGCTAGCTATGCAACATGGGGTTAGCTCTCATAGGGTAACAGAAGGGACGGGGTTAACTACTGGATCAGTCCTTTCCCTGCGGTATTGTATGAACGTTCCGCTTAAACTTGGCCGGAGAATCGAGTGGCTTATTGGCTCTATATACGACGCTGGCATCCTATGAAGCCTGATTACTTGAGTATGGCGAGTTTACGAGGAGTTGAGCGCTGCCGTGTGCAGTCATGGGCTTCTGAACGTTTGTAAACAGTATCAAGGTGGTCTGAATGCAGCAAGTTTGCATCTCCACCTTCCAGATGTTGACCTTCGATGAAGCTGTATGTATTATTTGGAAATGAGAACAACCGTAGTATCATCAAGGTGTCCAGCACCATATTCACACCGAATGCATATGAGACAAACACGCCCTCCAACGCAATTTACTCATCCATCTGCCACTGATAATCCAACGCTTCCAGTCTCCCCTTCTTATTCCTCGCTGCAAACCATTCCTTCTCGAACCCGTTCCCCCGATCCACCCCATCCCACCGATGTCCCGGACGGATCCCATACCGATTCGGCTGAAAAGCCCCCTTATAGAGCGGCTTCCCCGTCACACTCGCGCCGGGCCCCTTTGTCTTGGTCAAAAACCCAGCCGCAGGATCATTCCACCGCTGCTGCGCCTTCAGCTCCTCATTCAGGGAATCGTCTTCGATCGTCCGTGCAAGCGGCATCGCTCGAGCCTCCTGTATCTGCTGCCTGCGCGCCTCCCGCTCCGCCCGCTGCACATCACCCATCAGCGCCTCCTTAGCTGCCTCCTCCTTCTCGCGCTTCTCCTGCTCCGCCCGCCGCGCCTCCGCCCGCTTCAGGGCAACGTTGATGATCCGCCCAGACGCATCTCGGTAGATCGTCTCCTGCGCCTCCGCCGGCCGCTCTCGATGCCGCGCCGCCTCGGCCTTCTTCCGTCGTTCCTGCGCAGCCACCATCGCCGCCGTCTGTTCCGCAGTCTGCAGTCCCGCCCGAGCACCGGACTCCATCCGCATCTCTCCTCCGTCGTCGGCCTCAGCATCGTCCACAACAGCAGGCGCTTCGTCATCGCCTTCCTCTCCTTCCCCACGGCGAGCGGCGCTCTCCGCCGCGGCAGACGCTAGGATCGCGTCTGCGGCGTCCCGCTCATCATCCGCGTTCGATCTGCCGGTCGCGGGACCACCCAGCGTCTTCCAATTCGATTTCTTCGCACGGCGGAACTCCGCGCTCCGGACGGAGGTCACTAAACTCGGGCCCTCGTCATCCTCATTGCCGAAATTTGTCGCCGACGTCCGTAAATCGGGCGGGTCGTCGTCGGCGATGATGAGGCCGTCTCCGGCGGTGTCGACGGTTTTGGTCTTCTTGCGTTTCTTTTTTGGGCGTTCCGTAGATGGATCGGCTGTTAGGTAGTTTTTGGCGAGATATTCTGCTAGTGACGAGGAGGGCATGGTGTCTGGTCTGGAGGGTTCAAACTGGGGATGGAAGTTTGGCTTGAGCTTCAGCTCGAGCTTCGGCTTGGGCTTTTGCTGCGCGATCTTGCTATCGCACTGATAGCCGGAGTTTTAGTTTTGCCGATGCCCGTATCCATATAGAGTATCTTTGCCTGCGTCATACAGCAAACAGCATTTATCAACAATAATGATTGTGATGATGAAGTAGATAATGAACTAGAATTATCTCTCAAATTTGAAGAGGGAAAGCATTGAGATGCCCCGCTCCGACGAGGCAGAATGGTGGTTCAACGCCGTCTACGAAGCCGTTCAAACTATCCCCTACGGCAAGGTGACCTCCTACGGGCATATCGCCCTTCTACTCGGCCAACGTATGTAGATCTCTCTTCACATTTCCCCTTTTTCTTGCTCGTCTGCCGTACCGTAGATCTGAATCAGCTAATCGATGTAATAGCTAAACGACCCCGCCAGGTCGGCGTCTGTCTCAAACACCTCCCCGAGGATCCCTCGCACCACTTCCACTCAGGCAATGTGCCCTGGCAGCGGGTGGTTAATTCGAAAGGGATGATATCTCATCGGTATGTTGATAAGATGCGTTTAAGAATTTCATGATGCTGATTTCTGCAGGGGGCCCGGAAGTGCTGAGCGACAGGCCGAGGCGCTGCGCGAGGAAGGTGTCGAGGTCGATGCCGACAGCATGGGTGAATTCTACGTAGATTTTGCACGATATGGCTGGTTTCCCGAACGGTTGCCTGGGGAAGAATCCGACGATAGTGAAGATGAAGACGAAGCTGAATAAGGGGAGAATGTGATCGTTCTACGGTTTTAACTCTTCAGGATTCACTTGGTTGGTCTAGAGGTCTAGGCGTGTATCTCATCTCATTCATTCGTATCCACAGACCCTTCGCAAGAAGTCTGCTTAGTATCAACCAGAAATTTGTACCCCCGCTCCACAATCGTACTCTGCAGCTGGCTATGACAAACACAAACTCCATATAACCCCTATCGGACATGGGTCACAGCATTGGTGGAAAGCTACCGTGCCAAAGAACGAGAGAGTCGTAAATCTTTCGGGCATTGGATCTAATGAAGAAGACAGCCTTGGAGGGGCCGCGCGAGACCAACTCCGAGCAGGGTTGGAAGTATAAGACAAGAGGGGATCAGGCTCTATGATAGTAGAGAACGGGCAGTGAGGGTGAACGAGCCCCACACTTGTTGAGAGAAGCATATGGTCATCATGCAACAAGGAAAATAAATCATAACACCCCGTCCACTGCCAAAACAGAACCAAATGGTAATCGACGAGGGTTCCACACAGAAGAGGAAAAGGAATAAATAGGTAAGAGATCGTCACTGACTTATGTCTGATATGCTTTTCGCGTTGCTTGACTCATCGCTTCTTGACTTCCGACGCCCACCCATCGATCCCTTCGCCCCTACTACCAGGTGGTATGCCTAGGTCAACACCCTTCATCCCGGGAGTGTCGCTCAGCCATTCATGAGCAGCCATACCACCGGCATTGGCACGTTTCTCGGGTGGCAATTCCAGCATCGGTAGCAGGAATTCGCTGATGCGCATACTCTCTTCAACCGAGAAATGATACTTCTCTCGTAGGACGTCAGGCAAAGCCCAGTGGCGTAACCGGTGGATATTCCGAAGTTCTCCTTTGCGGTTGAAAATCTCTTGCGACCACTTTCCGGAGAGACACAGTGATTTGGGGAAAGGACCGAGTAACTCGATGATTTGTGCAATGTGATCGTCGTCTTTACCGTACTTTGTTCCCGACTGGGGGTCGAAAAGGTAGTCGCCCGTAATGAGCTCGAATACCTATCGGAATTGTCAGTTGATTGATCGCTTGGACGAAGAAGAATGTGATTTCCAAACTGACCATGCAAGCCATACTCCAGATATCTGTGCTCGCACCCCACTTCGACCCCAAGATGACCTCTGGCGAGCGGTACTGTCGTGTTTGAATATCGTTGGTGAAATGGTGACCGACCCAGCACGCGTTCCCCAGGTCGGCAATCTTCACTGAGATGATGTCACACAAAGGATCCTCACTTTCTTCTTTGGAGGACTGCTTGTCAAGCGAGATCCCCGAAACCTCTCTCTCCAGTAGATCGCTAACTCCACGTCAGTGCACCAGACCTTCGACATATGGACCGGAATCAGTTTCCAACATACGTAGTCTTCTCCCTCTCTTTCTGCTTCTCGTCCGCCTTTATACCTAATAACTCCTTCATCGACGCGCCTTCTTGTGTAGATGTGTCTGCAGCTTGTCAGCGGGCGTAGCTTGGGATGCCACGGGACGATTTTGTTTAAAACGTACTGGATGATTCAATAACCTGGCTGAGACTGCTGTGTGAGTTGGAAGAGCTGTGCTTGAAATCGTGATGGCTGAAACTTGTGTTGAGTGGACTGGGCAACGGCTGACTCCCAGTGATGAGGGTCCTCCTCCGTCGCCGGCCGCTGCGGCTATCATCTTTATTCTCCTTCTTCGCTTCCTCCTTGACGTATGTCTGCACAATTTGTTCCACATCGCCAATCTCGATCAGAACGTTCTCCGGCTTCAAGTCTGTATGGATGATGCCGCATTCCCGGTGCAGATAATCTAAGCCCAGCAAAACCTGTTTCGTAATTTGCTTCACCAGCGGCATGGGAATACCCCGATGGTTCCAGCGCTTGATCAGGCCAAGCAAATTTTCCCCCAGCACCTCAAACACCATGCATACATGGACACCATTTGGACCCTTGTGTTCAAACGAATCGAGCAGACTGACAACATGCTTCCGGCCGGGATGGGAGGGCTTCGCTTGGACGATCTTATTCAACAACTTAATCTCATCGATAGCGGTTTCGGTGTAATGCGCGGCAGAGCGAACAACTTTGAGCGCAACGTGTTTTCCGGTGGTGGTATCGCGGGACAGCCAGACGGTGGAAAAATGACCCCAACCCAATTTGCGCACGACGACGTACCGTCCATTATTGTATGTTTCGCCCACGGTGACTGGGTGATAACCACCCTTGCAGTAGTCCTCTGAGTCTTCCTCTTCAGCAGTGGTCTCGAGTTCTTCTGCGGACGAGGAAGAGGCCGACCGCGACGGCGGGATATCGTATGCGGACTTGACGGGAACACTGCCACTCATGTTGGTTAGGGACAAAAGACCAAATCGCGCTATGATACGGAAGAACGGATATAAGAGCTGAGAGAAAAAAGGGCAAAGAAATAAAAAATTTGTTTCGTCAAAAAGAACACCGGAGCGATAATGCTGAAGAAAAGCAAGAGCGAAGCATACCCCTCAGTAGATGTGGCAGATGAATCGATGGCAGGTGAGGCGGCGTCGTTGKTGACGATCGGCTTCAGATCGGTTCCTTTTCTTTTCTTCCTACCGCCATTGCCATTTGCAGCATTCGCAGCGACGCTTGCCATTTGTTTTCCCTTGTTGATGACCGCCTTGGTTATATCTACCCCGTCCATCGTTTGGATTTCGGAGGATCGATGCGAGTTGAGGAATGTTTAAATCGAGAGGATCTGGAGAAGGAGGGGCACAAGGTGTTGGGCCGGAGAAGGCGAAGCTGAGTCCAGCCAAGCTCGTTGTCTGGCGGCGGAGGGGTGGATTGTGCGGTTCTATGAGGGGTTGGTTCAGCGCCCGCGACCGCAACCCAGTATGACGGAGGAGATCAGTGGGATGAGGCAGTAGTATTGGGGAAATATAGATGTTTAGACAAGGGGAGAAGGAGCAGAGTAAATAGTAAATCGGACCAGATATTCGAAAATAAACGGAATATTCTCAAGGTAGAAGGATGTGCGTAAATGACGCAAACGATAAGGCCGAACACATATATAGAGGGGCCCTCGGGGCAATGATGGTAATAGTAACGTTTGACGATCTCAGATCCGATCGACTCCTAGCGTTGTCGATTCAAACACTCAGCGAATTGGAACGAATCAAACTGCAGAAAGAAGAATTGCAACAATCTGGTGGTATGGTAGATGGAAATGCAGACGACAGGAATGTCCGCAAGCAGCAGCCGGGTTCTCTTCGGGCGATGTTGACAAAGCGAGCAACAACAATAAACTTAACGGATGTGGCAAATCGTGACCGGGGCTTGAAGGATGCTAGTTTCCTACCCTTCAAAGATCAGACCTGGCCAGCAGGGGATCAATCATAGCTTGGAGGATAAAACTGGTGTCGTGCATTTATGATTTAGGACTACAGGCTTTTACGAGGTACCTGGGAGACAAGAGGGGACTAAGGAACAGGAACATGGCGGATGAGGGAACCGTCTCAATGATGACGATAGAACAGATTCATCGTTCCCCTTGATTCTTCTGTTCGACAGCCCTTGGGCCAGAAGCTGACTGGCCCAGTGCTGACCATTTGATGATGGATATCCACTTGCGTATGCACGGTGTTTCCCCGGATCCATCATGGTCGTTCCCTTCAAGTGCCTTAAGAGCACCCCGACAGCCCCTACACAATTGGGTTCAACAATGTCATTCTGATTAGTTGGCCAATTGATTTCGTCTTCAATAATGAAATGGAATGTGGTCCTCTAGGAAAGTTCCACAAAAGGATAGCATCGACGGATAGGCCTGGACTTTCTCTACATATCGCTTGATGAACCTCTGGACACGCCTAGTGATGGATGCGCTTTCTGCAGAATCTTCTTGGGAGATGTCTGATCACACCAGTGGTCATCAACATGAACCGCATCCATTCAGCTGAAGTCAGAAAATGATGTAATGAGAGTTAAACAAGTAAAGCTTCAAATGCCGGCCTTTGTAACAACGCTATCAATTGTCCTTAAATGCTTATTTTGGGCTTATTTTGATTGAGGACTTGGTACATGAGCGTACATATGCAGGGCCGTGAATATGCACGTAGTTCCTTTCGCAAACTGGTTCCCCTTGATAGGATGGTTTACCGTTCATGCGCTTCCAGCTTTCCAATTGCTCGATTCCCTGTAAAAGTGGTTTAACATCCCTGCATAG